AGCTGCAAGTGTCGTCCTCAGTGTGTCGTGCCACTCGCGGGGCACCTGGTGGAGACCGTAGACTGGTCGCCGGAGACTCCACTTGGTACCCTCAAGAAACGACCAAGTGAAGCCAGGTAGGCGGCGCAACCAATTCTTCTTGTGAAGGCTGCCCTGCAAGAAAGCTGTAGAGAAGTCGAGAGAGTGCAGCTCGTAGTCACGCTGTGCTGCAATGTGCAGTAACACCAAAAGAGTGGTCATCTTCGGGGTGGGGGAGAAGGTCTGGAAGAAGTCGACCCCCTGCCGCTGACTGAAGCCTCGTGCAACGTAACGCGCCTTGAAGGCAGGCGGAGAACCCGGCGGTCGCTTCACCCTGAAAATCCACATGCCATCGACTATGTTCGCCCCAGGAGGGGGGACTGCATCGACGTAGGTGCCTGTGGACTTCCAGGAAGCCATCTCTGGATCCATGGATGTCTGCCACTTAGAGGAGTACTCACCCGTGATCGCCTCTGCGTAAGAGACCGAGGTCGGGATGTCTAGAGCATCCGGGTCTCCCTCAGGGCAAAGCAGCATGGCAGCGAGATGAGGTACAACAGCCGCAGAGCACTCGAGCTCAAACTGCCTGTCCTCAAGGACGTCACAACCAAGGGCAAGCTCACCCCCAACGGACAGAGGACGGCCAGACTCAGAAACAAGACTAGCCAAGGCGGTAGGCAGTAGCAAAGTCAACAAGCTCAGTGACAAAGGCAGACGCAGCAGCAGACTCAAAGGTAGGGTCAGTGACAAGTGTGGCCAGACAACGAGTGACAGTCGGACTAGCAGCACGAGCAAGGTCAAACTCAGGGTCAGGAACGTCATGAAGAGAAGACGCTGGAGGAGAAGGCAGGGGAAGACGCTGTCGCCTCAGGCTCCACTGGGTCCCAGGAGGGAAAGTGCCAGTGAAGCCAGGAGGACACCGCAGCCAGATCTCCTCGTGAAGGTGGCCTTGGAGAAAGGCAGTGGAGAAGTCGAGGGAGTGCAGCTCGTAGTCTCGCTGTGTTGCTACGTGAAGTAACACCCGAAGAGTAGTCATCTTCAGGGTCGGGGGAGAAGGTCTGAAAGAAGTCAACTCCCTCATGCTGATTGAAGCCCCCAGCCACGTAGCGCGCCTTGAAGACAAACGATGATCCAGGCAGCCGCTTCACCTTGAAGATCCACATGCCGTCGACTACATTCGCCCTGGGAGGGAGAACTGCGTCAACGTAGGTGCCTGTGGATCTCCAAGACGCCATCTTTGAGTCCATGGCCGCTTTCCACTAAGAGGCCCACTGCCCTGACACTGCCTCACGGTACGTGCGAGGATTCGGTAGCTCCAACACCCCCTAAGTCCACCGTAAACTGTTGCGGAAGTGCCAAAGGCCGCGGAGGGGACTATGAGGAGGACTTTGGGGAGGGAGACGACACCGAACGCGCTACAGAGGGCAGAGGGGTAGCGTGAGACACACCTGATGGGGCAGGGCCTGGGGGGGGCTGGGGTACCGGAGGAGCGGGAGCAGGAGGAGGAGTGGGGGCGAGGAAAAGAGGAGGGGGAGAAATCGGGAGACCTCGACAGGGGTAGCGGGTGTAGTAGGACACTGACTCATCAAAGGTGACGTCACGAGAGTCAAGGAACCGGTGGAGGGGCGGGTGGTAAAACATAAAGTTATGAGAGTCCACCTGGAAACCAAGGAAGACACACGGGATGGCGCAGGCCGAGAGCTTGTCCGCAGGAGTGTCGCGGACAAGCGCAAGGCAGCCCAAGACTCGAAACTCCGACGCAACACCAGGGGACCCTGTCCAAAGACAGGTCGGTAAATCCCCTAGTCGTGAGACACGAGGCCAGAGGTTCAGCTGGTGGGCGGCGTAGCGAACCGCGTAGGGCCACAGAATATGGGGCGCATGGGCATGGATCATGGAGGTGCGGGCGATCTCCATGATGAAGCCAATGCGGCGCTCAGCAACCCCATTCTGCTGTGTGGACTTCGGAAGCGTCCAGGACTGTGTGATGCCCTGTTCGCCACAGAATCCGGCAAGCACGCCGGAGCGAAACTCACCCCCTCGGTCGGAGTGGAGACAAAGGACACGACTACCAAGAGTGGCCTTAGTGGCCAGGAGCCACCGGATCAGCGCAGAAGAAACACCGTGGTGTACCTGGAGTAGTTGTCAACGACCACCAGAAAGTAGCGCTCCCGCTCGGGCCAAGTCGAGGAGCTGGGCCCCAGATGTCCAAGTGGAGGGTCTGGAAGGGAGCTGTGGCCGGACGAAGGGAGGAGGAGTGAGGATTGGCACGCAGCCGACCCTCGACGCAAAGAGTGCACGACGGCACAGGCGAGGGAGGGAGTGACGCAAAGATGCGTGGGAGACGCGAGACAAGAAGCTGACTAGCCATGCTGCGGAGGCGGGGGAGGGACGAGTGGCCGAGACGGTGGTGCCACAAGACTGTCGGGTGGGTGAGGGACCAACAGGAGCAAGACGCAGCATCCTGACCGGACACTGCAACCTGACCGGACACAGCAAACCGAACACAGCAACCTGAGGGGACGCAGTTACCTGGGAGCTCTCGGTGTGCAGAACGTAGATACCGGAGCGGGGCTCCCTGGTGAACGTGGCAAGAAGTGCACCAGTGGAAGCGTCCGTACAGATCGCAGTCCTCCTGTACCCAAGAATGGTGATTGTGAACCCTCGATCCTGAAGGTATCCAACAACCACCAAGTTCCGAGTGAACGAGGGGATGTGGAGACCAGTAAGGACACCAGAGGGGACCACAGGGTACGTGAGGGTGGTAGAGTTGCGTGCAACTGCTGGTCCTGAAGTAGGATCAACCAGGGCTACCGGAACAGAAGCAAGGAGTGGTGTGAGAGTCGTGTGGTCGCGGAAGAAGCACTGTGATGCGCCAGAGTCCAGTGTGAAGGACGCGTTAGCCGTAGGTGCACCTGGGCTGGTAGCTACACAAGGACCTAGTGCAGCAACACAATCACCTAGACTGGAAAGGCGAAAGTCTACACTAGCAACAGGCAAGGATCCTAGTTCAGGAACACGCGAGCAAACAGATCCATCAGCACTATAGTCCATCAGATCCATCAGAACATCAGCATACATGGCATACTGAGGAGCCTCAACCATAGACAGATCCAATACAGGAGTCTTACGGGCTAGCAGCTGTGCCTAGCACGGGGTGCGTCCTGCGTGACCGTGACGCTGACGGTAGAGGTCGTCGAGGCGGCGGAAGCAACGCGCTGCTGAGTGGTCACCGCGCCCGCAGACACCAGAACTAACCGGTCCCGTGAGGATCCAGTAATCGCAGGGGCCATGGTCGCGCCAAGGGGGGCGGGGGGCCCAGCTGGCAGTGCTGCTACTGTGGCTAGTGCTCCCCGGTCCTCTAGGTTCCCACTGCTGCGGGGGGGCCCAGTGCTGCTGCGGACCCCACTGCTGCGGGGGTCCCCACATCGGAACCTGCTGCGGCACCTGCCGCCGCTGCTGTCCCTGCTGCTGCTGCTGTCCCTACTGTGGCTGCTGCTACTAAAACTGCTGCTGCTGCTGTCCACCTCCGCCACCTCCACCGCCGCCACCACCCTTCTTCCCTTTCTTGCCTCCCTTGCCTCGTTTCTGCCTGCCCACCAGCGGGAGAAACAGTTGTACTCTCCTCAGCAGTGGCACGAGTAGCAGTGAAGGTGGGAAGCTGAGGTACAGCACACCCCTCAAAGAGACGGGAAGCTACTGCGTCAGTGGCAGAGACAACAGAGAGGGGGGTACTTTCGATCTAAGAGAGAGTGCTCTCAAGAAGCTCGATTGTAAGCTCACTGGGGTGCTTCTGAAGAAGCGCGTCACGGGCAGAGGAGAGGCGGCCAGGGAGGCGCGTGACTAACCAGTGAATGGTGAGCCACATAGGAGGGGGGGCAAGCTCAAGCTGGGCGTCGGTACAGGCTGCACGGTAGCTAGTGTCGAGGGAACGCAGGTGGGTGGCAAGGTAGGAGACAGTCGCAAACAAAAGGTCAGGAAACACGAACGACGTGAGGAGGCGGCTGAGGGAGGCAAAGGAAGGGGTGGAATAACGAGCAACGATAGCATCATAACACCCCTTCGCCGTCTCGAACTGGGAGAAGTGAGCAGCCTCACTCAGTGGGAGAAGGTCCGTGAGCATCAGTGCAGCCGCGGCGTCCCGAGAGTCCCAGACGTCACGTGCCAGGAACAGCCGGTAGTAGTCTGCCTATTTCGCGGCAGTGGGAGCGGGCTCAGTAGGCGGGGGGTCGGGGCGTGGAGGGGCCCGGAGTGCGCCAGACACGTGGGCGTACAAGGTGGCACCATCCTGGCGTTGAATAGTAAGGTGGCACTGAGCGTGGCGGAGCCACGTACTAAAATCGATAGGACGGCCCTCCGCATTGAAACGTAGGCGGCGGAAGGACTCCATAGTACAGCTAGAAGCGGCTGGAGCTAGGAAGGGCTGGAGCAAGGAGCCGCCAGGCTAGGAGCGACAAGAGCTAGGAGCGGCCAGGCTAGGAGCGGCTGGAGCTAGGAGTGGCTAGGCTAGGAGCGGCCGGAGCTAGGAGTGGCCAGGCTAGGAGCAGCCAGAGCTAGGAGTGGCCAAGCTAGGAGAGGCCGCAGCTAGGAGCGCCGAGCTACGGTCGAGCGGAGCTGGGAGTGAGTGGAGTTAGGAGCGCCAGGGTAAATAACCATCGGTCGAAGCTAGGAGGAGACCAAAAAACCAATTCGAGCAAACGGAGGGAAGAGCGGCTGCCAGCCGCCGTGGAAGACGCCTATAGCAGTAGGCTCGAGGTAGAGCGCGAGCACAGCAGCGGCGGAGGGGGGAAGAGCTCGCTGCTGGGTGGGGTGTGCGCGTGGTGGCAGGGCTTAGCGCGCGCTGCGAGGGCTAGGACACGTGCTGATGCGGGTGCGCGTGGTGCAGCTAAGGGGTAGTGCGCGGGGCAGGGGCGCGAGTTGCTCTGCTGATGGCACGCGCTGCTGGGCTGGGTGGCATGCGCTGTTCTGCTCGGTAGCACGCGATGCTCTGCTGGGGCACGCGCTGCTCTGCTGGGTGGCGCGCGCTGCTCTGCTGGGTGGTGCGCGCTGCTGTGCTGGTGGCGAGCGCTGCTCTGCTGTGGCGCGCGCTGCTCGACAGGGTGGCGCGCGCTGCTCTGCTGGGGCGCGCGCTGCTCTGCTGGGTGGCGCGCGCTGCTCTGCTGGGTGGCGCGCGCTGCTCTGCTGGGGCCCGCGCTGCTCTTCTGGGTGACGCGCGCTGCTCTGCTGGGGCGCGCGCTGCTCTGCAGGGTGGCGCGCGCTGCTCTGCTGGGGCGCGCGCTGCTCTGCTGGGTAGCGCGCGCTGCTCTGCTGGGGCTCGCGCTGCTCTTCTGGGTGACGCGCGCTGCTCTGCTGGGGCGCGCGCTGCTCTGCTGAGGCGCGCGCTACTCTGCTGGGTGGTGTGTGCTGCTCTGCTGAGGCGCGCGCTGCTCTGCTGGGGCGCACGCTACTCTGGCAGGGGCGCGCGCTACTCTGGCAGGAGTGCGCGTGGGTCAGCACACGAGAGGGAGGGGCACTGCTTAAGGAGGGGTACGAATACGGAGCGACGGAGCGGTGCGGGCTAGGCTAGGCAACGGAGCACGGGCGGGCTAGGCTAAGCAAGGAGCGTACCTACTATGATACCATCTCTGTCAAACATTGTATGTGTTATATTTGTGTAGGCTATTGTGGGTTAGCCTCTAGGGGGTACAGAACTAGGTTTGTCATACTTGTACTCACATTCTGCTGCTAGTCAATCATTCCTGTTTCATTCATTCTGACATGGTTTCAGAGCAGGTCCTCCGCTAGGACCAAGTTTTTTCTTAGGGCCCACCACTACTGACTGCCTACTAGCGCCCTCGTGCGCCCTACTGTCGGAGCGCCCTCGAGCGCCTCCCCCCTAGCGCCCTCGTGCGCCCCTCCTTAGCGGCCCTGTAAGGCCCCGCGACCCGCGACCCGCCCCTTAGCGGCCCCGTCGGCCCCGCGAACTGCCCCTTAGCGGCCCCTTACGGCCCCGTCGACCCCGCGCGCCGCCCCTTAGCGGCCCCTCACGGCCCCGTCGACCCCGCGCGCCGCCCCTTAGCGGCCCCTCACGGCCCCGTCGACCCCGCGCGCCGCCCCTTAGCGGCCCCTCACGGCCCCGTCGACCCCGCGCGCAGCCCCTTAGCGACCCCTTACGGCCCCGTCGACCCCGCGCGCCGGCCCTTAGCGGCCCCTCTCGGCCCCGTCGACCCCGCACGCGCCCCAACTAGAGGCCCCGTCGGCCCCGTCGACCCCGCGCGCGCCCCACCTAGCAGCCCCGGCAGCCCCGCACGCGACAGCCACGGCCCTGCCAGAACCGAGCCGCCCGAACCGAGCCGCCCAGCCCGAGCCGAGCCGCGCCGCCCGAACCGAGCCGCGCCGCCCTCCCCGTACTGAGCAGCCCCCCCCCTGGTCCGAGCCGCCCTACCTGAGTCGTGCTGCCTGCTGCTTTTAGGGTTTCGCCTGCTGCTACTACTGCTGCTGTTACTACTGCTCTTCCTGCAACTATGGCTAGCCCTACTGTACTCGCTTTCGATGCTGAGGGCCGCCCACTGAACTTTGACACCTGGCTAGATGACTTGCACCTGTTCCTCCAGCTCACTGCCAAGGAGGACATCTCGCTGTACGATCACGCACTAGGCAATGCTGCTGCCCCTGCTGCTACTGCTGACAGTACTGCCCGTTCACAATGGCAGACTCGTGACGCCCACGCTCGCTTTGCTATTCGCAACTCCCTGCCGGTAGATGAGCGCGAGCACTTTGGCCAGCACAAAACTGCGCAGGCACTGTACACTGCTGTAGTTGCACTCTACTCCTCACCTGCCTCTGCTGCGCTAGGCCGTCTCTCGCTCCCCTACCTGTTCCCAGACCTGTCCGCTTTCGCCACAGTCGCTGACCTCACCACGCACCTCCGCACTAGTGAGGCTCGCTTCCGTGCCGCTATGCCCGCTGAGTTTCTTGCCACCCACCCCCCCCCGCTCTGGCTCACTCTCTACCACCTTGTCACCCGTCTCCCTGACTCTCTTCGTACGGTCAGGGACCACTTTCTCGCTCGCTCCCCCACTGAGCTCACCATAGACCTGCTCGAGAAGGAACTGCTTGCAGCCAAGACTAGCATAGTCGCTGTAGCTGCCTCTCGTGGCGACCCCCGCACCCCTTTCTTCGAGGGGTGTTCCCCTTCCCCCCTTCTCCCCTCTGTCGCCTCTGCTGCTGTTGTCAACCTAGTTGGTACTGAGCAGGTCGGGACTGCGTCCGCTCCGAGCTGGCGCCGCAGCGGCAAGGGCAAAGGGGGCAAGGGAGGTGGAGGTGACGGCGGGGGAGGTGGTGGTGGGGGTGGTGGCGGTGGTGGGGGTGGTGGCGGGACTGGAGGGGCTAGTGGCAGCGGTGGGTGTGGAGGTGGCAGCAGCGGAGGAGGTGGCCGGGGTGGGGACGGTGGTTGGGGAGGCGGTGGACGCGGAGGCGGCAGAGGCGGTGGTGGTCGAGGTGGTGGCGGCGGCGGTGGTGGTCGTGGAGGCGCTGGCGGTGGCCAGAGCCAGCAGCACACTCCGTCGTCCCAGGAGCTTCGTGAGTGGTACTCTCAGCACGGGGGGGGGGGGGGTGGCCTTAGCTGCACGTACGTCATCCGCACTGGTGACCGCACTGGCCAGACGTGTGGGAGGGCGCACACCACGCAGCGCTGCTTCTCCCGCCTTGACGACGCTTGGCGCACTCAGTTCCCTGCTGCTACTGAGCTGCCCCGCTGGGCTGACCTGATGAAGAAGAACATTGATATCTATGCTCTTGACTTTGATGCTATTCTCACTGCCATGTATGTCTTGTCTACTAATGGAGAGGGTGATCAGTACCTGCGTGTTCCGCCCGACCCGGGCATGTGCACCAGTGAGGCTGCCGCTCTAGGTGCTAGTGCGTCTGCTGCCCTAGGTGCTGGTGAGGCTGCTGCTCTAGGTGCTCGCGTGTCTGCTGCCCCAGGTGCTGGTGAGGCTGCTGCTCTAGGAGCTAGTGCGTCTGCACCCCCTGGTACTGAGTCCACTGAGGCACTGCACACCTTCACTCTCAACTCAAGTGCTTCTCGCTGTTTCTTTCGTGACCGCACTGCCCTTGAGCAGCTTGCTCGGCCAGTTGCTGTCTCCCTCGCTGACCCCTCTGGGGGTCCGGTCATTGCGACCTCCTCCACTGTCCTTCCTTGTCCTGCGGTTCCGTCGGGCACACTGTCCGGTCTCCACCTCCCCTCGTTCTCTACGAACTTGGTGGCGGGTTGTGCGCTCCAGGACGGGGGTGTCCACCAGTTCACCCCTGCCTACGAGCGCGTGACACACTGCACGTGTGCTCGGACGGGCCGTCACCTGGCTACCTTCACTAGGCAGCCGGGGTCGGACCTGTACACACTGACCACTGAGTCCCCTCAGGTAGCTGCGTCTGCGTCTGCGTCAGGTCAGCTGTCTGCCCCCTGCTCGTGTCGCTCTCTGGCGCACGAGACTGTCCTCTGGCACCACCGCCTTGGTCACCCGTCAGTGCAGCGCCTTCGTGCCATGCACAAACGGTACCTTGTCTCTGGTCTTCCCCGGGTACTCCCTCCCCTCCCACCCTCGCCTGCTCCTCCCTGTCTTCCTTGTGTCGATGGACGGCAGCGTGCCGCTCCCCACTCCTCCTCGTTTCCCCCGACGACTGCTCCTTTGCAGACGCTCCACATGGACGTGTGGGGCCCAGCCCGCGTCCGTGGACAGGGTCAGGAGAGGTACTTCCTGATCATTGTTGACGACTACTCGCGCTACACCACGGTCTTCCCCTTGCGCACCAAGGGTGAGGTCCCTGATGTTTTGATCCCTTGGATCAGCGCTTCTCGTCTCCAGCTCAGTGAGCGGTTCCGCTCGGACTTTCCTGTCCTGCGTCTGCACTCAGACAGAGGTGGCGAGTTCTCCTCCGACCTCTTGGCGGCCTACTGTGCGGAGCACGGTATCCGTCTGTCGTTCACGCTTCCGGCCTCTCCACAGCAGAATGGGGTTGCTGAGCGCCGCATTGGCTTGGTCATGGAGGTCGCTCGTACCTCCTTGATCCATGCGGCTGCCCCCCACTTTCAGTGGCCGTTTGCGGTCCGGTACGCTGCGCATCAGCTCAACCTCTGGCCCCGTGTCTCCTTGCCGGAGACCTCGCCCACACTGCTGTGGACGGGGGAGGTTGGCGATGCGTCGCGTTTCCGGGTCTGGGGATCTCGAGCTTTTGTCCGCGATACGTCCGCGGACAAGCTCTCCTCCCGCGCTGTTCCTTGTGTCTTCCTTGGCTTTGTCCCGGACGCGTCTGGTTGGCAGTTTTATCACGCCACCTCGCACCGTGTCCTGCCCTCTCAGGACGTCACTTTTGACGAGTCGGTGCCCTACTACCGCCTCTTCCCCTACCGCACTGCCCCGCTCCCTCCCCCGCCTCTCTTCCTCGCGCCAGGTGCTGCTGTGGTAGACCCCCTCCCCCATCAGGGTGCCGCTCCCTCAGGTGTGTCCCAGGTAGACCCAGTTGAGCCGGTCGAGGTAGCTGTCGACTCTCGTCCTGCTCGGGGTGCTGAGCCTGAGCGTGCGGAGCCTGGGGGTGCGGAGCCTGGAGTTGCGGAGTCTGGGGGTGCGGAGCCTGCGGGTGCTGAGTCTGGAGGTGCTGAGTCTGGGGGGGCTGAGCCTGAGGGTGCTGCGGCTGAGAGTGCTTCACCTGGAGGCGCTCTTTCCTCCCAGCAGCTGCGTGAGTGGTACTTACAGTACTGCAGCCTCAGGAGAGCTGCTGCTGGAGCTCGTGCTCGTGCTTCCCCTCCTAGGCGGGAGCTGCCCTCTCCCCAGCGGCTTCGAGAGTGGTACGCTCGTCGTTGCAGTCTCCGGAGTGGCGCTCCTCGTGTCGAGGACCCTGGAGCTGGAGGTGCTGCTGGTGCTGGAGCTGCTGGAGGTGCTGCTGGTGCTGGAGCTGCTGGAGGTGCTGCTGCTGCTGGCGGTGCTGTTGGTGCTGCTGGAGCTGCTGGAGGTGCTGCGGGTACTGGTGCTGCTGGTGCTGGTACTGCTGGAGCTACTGGAGGTGCTGTTGGTGCTAGAGCTGCTGGAGGTGCTGCTGGTGCTGGAGCTGCTGGAGGTGCTGCTGCTGCTGGCGGTGCTGCTGGTGCTGCTGGAGCTGCTGGAGGTGCTGCTGGTACTGGTGCTGCTGGTGCTGGTACTGCAGGAGCTACTGGAGGTGCTGCCGGTGTTGGAGCTGCTGGAGCCGCTGGTGCTGGAGGTGCTCGTACAGGAGGGACTGGAGCTGCTGAGGGGGTTGGAGCTGGAGTTGCTGAGCGGCCGCGGCCGTACTACGTTCCGCTCCTTCAGCAGGTTCTTGGTCTCCCGCCCTCTACTGGTCCTCCTCCTCCCCTACTGAGTCCACCGCCTGTCCAGTCACAGTCACAGTTACAGCCTGCCTCTCCACTGCCTGGTCCTTCTCCTTACACTGCGCCGACGGGCAGTCTTACTGAGCGTCGTGAGCCTGAGTCTCGTCCTCCGTCGCCTGAGTCTAGTCCAGAGTCACCTGTGTCGCGTCCAGAGTCGCCTGTCCGGGCTGTCCGCGCTGGTCGTCGTGCTCCGCGTGAGCGTCCTCCTCCTGTCCTTGGCACTCACTATATGACCTTGCGTCCGTCCACTGCTCCAGAGCGCGTCCCTCTGCCGTCTCCTCCTGCGTCCTCTCTT